AATAAAAAATTATACTTCAGATGTTAATTTAGTATCAAAAACGTAAAATATTTGAGTAGCCCAAGACATAGCCAAAGATTGAAGCGCCACAGCACTGGCGAAAATTTAAATTTGCCGACTGGAATTCTTTCGGATGATTGACGTTTCGGATGATTGAATTTCGGAAAATCGACGCTCTACTGTATTTTAAATTTTGTTCTCCATTTTGTCATTTTATACCTTCAATTCGGTGTTAAATTTCCTGACGACAGTCATTTAAAATGATCTAAAATATTCACAATAATTCAATATAACTGTTAATTTCTTTGCTAAAAGGTTTTCATGGTGATTATAAACATGCAATTCAAACGTATTCTCAAAGGATTCAGTTTAGTCTATACTATTTATTTGAAAAAAAAATTATCACAAAATATAAAATTGATTGTGCATTTTTAAATAAAACTGAATTTGTTTTCATATACACAGTGATTGTAACTAAAGAGATGTTAAGAGCTTTGTAGAGAGAGACTATTGGGTATATCTCAACTAAATTGGCAGACAAACTTTCCTGCATGTACAGTTTCGATTTTAAAATAAAATTGGGTAAAATTCGGCACTGCCATTCCCTCGACGTGCATAAATTATGTACATTTTCTAACAAATTTCGAGTATAGTAGGAGTCGAAAAATGCTCTTCGCAATTCTTGTGACAGACAAACCATTATGGCATTCACTTTGCCCAATGAGCAATTCCATGTTTGTAACCGAAGTAAATTTATTGTACTCTGTTCCTTAATTCCCAAAATTCATTGTGTGTTTTGAGCTCTGTAGAAAGAATTAATGTTTAACTATAGTTACCCTTTATTTTGACAAATTTTACTTGTCCATAATTTGATTAATGCTGACAAAAAACATTTTTGAAAGTGGAACACTCTTGAACTGTTTGGTCAGTGATCTACTGCTAACAAGACTTGGTTTGAATCATAAAAACTTCTTGATTCCTATTCTAATTATCAGCCTAATCTTACAAGTTAGTGATTATTTTATATCTATTAGGCACTCTATATTTGAACAGCAGAATTAAAACTTATTGATTTGAAAGAAATGTCAAGTTGTTATTTTTAACTTTAAATTAATAAATTGTTTATAAAGATTTTTTATTGAGATTTTTTTCTAAAAACATTAATTGTTTTTTCTATTTTTAAAATTAATAAGCTGATATGGCAAATACTGCAATAAATGGTTTTTGGAGTGAGTATAGTGCTACTTGGTTTTCATCAATAATCCATCCGAAAACAATCTGTGAAATCTGAAACTGATGAAAACTGAGGTAATTATTTCCATACAAATCAATGTGAATCCAATTAATATGTTCTAGACACTCCAAAATACATACCAAAAACACAATTCATAGAGAATAAATATAGTTTTTAATACTTCAAATAATAAGAAATTAATATAAAATGAATATAAAAGAATAAAAGACTAATATAAAGAATAAATGAACATTTACCATGGCATTTACCTTTCTGAAGACTTCTTGGCTTATGAAGACTATGAGGAGGAGGAGGAGAGAGAGGTGCAGATATTGTTTGGAAGGGGAATCCTCCTCCATAAGGACCTTAGATATCATGGCACTATCGGGTCACTTCCCTTCTTGGTCTTTTGGCACTAGAACCAGCTTCAGCATCAGTGGACCCATGTCGCACAAGAAAGCTGTCCAAAGAGGTCTGTTTGTGCTACCTCTAAGATTTGCCTAAAATGTCATTATCATTAAACAAGTTACAGACATGGCCTGACAGCTTTGTTTGGGTGATTTTTCTTGACAAACCCCTGTACCTTACTCCACTTGGAGATGTCCTTAATCTCTGAAGAAGGCACATTCACCTGTCTCTTCCTCCTCATCTGAAGCAATTCTTCATCTGCTGTCTGTTGCACTTCTAGGTGAAGGTCTTGCAGCTCTCAGTGGTGAGATCTTAACTCTTTAAGAGTGGCAACTCTTCTACATCCTAAACACTCACCTCCAAACCCAAGGACTTCCCCAAATCAACAATTGAACTGCACCACTTATAGGGTCATCAGAGGAAAGCTCAAATTCTTCAAAATCTCTCTCATGCACACATCCTGGCCATAATTTCTTCCAGGCAGAGTTCATTGTCCTGGATGTCACTCCCTGCCAAGCCTTATCTGTGAGGTTAATGCAGTTGGGAACGTTGAAATGTTTTTCCAGAACTCTCTTAAGGACAATTCTGTATCTGATGTCACCTCAAAGCACCTTTGAAACATTGCTTTTGTGTAGTTTCTTGAAATTTGAAATGACATTCTGGTCTATGGGCTGAATGAGTGGTGTGGTATTAGGGGGCAAGAACAACACTGTGATAAAAATCTCCTCCTCCAACAATGTGTCTTCCAAAACTGTAGGATGTCCTTGTCCATTACCAGGAGGCACTTAAAAGGCAACTGATTATCCTGAAGGTATTTTTTTTCACACTCGGGCCAAACACTTCATTCATCCACTCAATGAAAATTTGCTTCGTAACCCATGCTTTCTTGTTTACCCTCCACACAATTTGCTTTTAATCATATTGTTTCTGCTAAACACTCTAGGAGTTTCTGAATGGTACATCAGTAAGGGTTTCACTTTACAATCACCATTAGCATTACCATACAACAAAAGAGTTAGCCTATCATTCATAGACTTATGTCCTGGCAGTGTCTTTTCTTCCTGTGTAATGAACATCCTCTTTTGGAAGAAAATACCAAAGAGATCAGTTGAAGACTTGTTGGAGAATGAATCCTTCAGCCTCTATGCAATCTTTGCATTTGAATACAAATTTTTTGGCCCCAGACTTGTCCAAATTTTCACCTTCACTGTGCCTAGTAACACTGTGTATGCCAGTGTGCCTCCTTGAATTTTTCAACCAGCCTCTACTGGCCTTAAAATCACTAAGTACACTAGCTCTCGTCCCAGGCATTTTCTTAATGAGACTGGCATACAACAGTCAGCCTTTTCACATATGATGGCCTCCGAAACAGAATCACCATCTGTTTTTGATGGATCCAAATTAATAATAACTGTTTGACATCTTCAATTGTTTGTGATCTCTCTTTCATTAGCACATTCATGCCTTTCACTACATTAGCTTCCTTTTTCACCACAATGGAACTTATCGTGGATGGTGACTTCCTATACATGCAGCCGATTTCGGCAATCTTAATGCCACGCTCGTATTTTTCAACAATTTCCTTTTTCAACTCGATCATGTTCCTGGCCTTCTTCTTCGAAGGGTTGCTGGCTCTGGAAACTTTCTTTGGTCCCATGATAAAGCTAAAAGGAAAGGAAAGCAATGGAATTGTTTGGCTAGATGCATGGGGTAATGCTCACACAATGAGAAACAATGCCACACTGATCAGGAAAACGTGTGGGTCAACCTTTGTTTTTGCAAAATTAGCAGCGAGGACATGTGGGCATGCCGACAAAAACAGACAAATTTTTCACAGAAAAAATTGATGATAACCAAAGTCAACAAAAACCAAGGTATATATATGCACATGCACAATAATAATAGTTTAACATTTGACAAAAATAATTTCATAATGAGCTTAAGTGTTTTCGGTGTATGGACGTTAAGAATTTTTAGTTAAGCAAGTTTAATAATTAAGCAACATCATATGTTTGATAAATAAGTTTAATTTAAAACCACAATGTTTACATTTAAATTTATCATCATCAGTGCTTAATTTAGTAGTAAAAACAATTTAACAAACAGTCCACATCCAATAATTCTCAAATTTTTATGATACACACAAAGATTTTTCACAAAACTAATACAAATAGAGATTTATACAAGGTGAAGTGCAGAATGTTTATATCTATTACAATTTATAAAAAAAAAAAAAAGACTCCTCAAATACATTGATCAATACTAATTCTAAAGATTACATAATTTCGATTATAAAAATTCCGAATGATGGAAATAAAACAAACACAATTAAATGCTTGTTCCGTAGTTTAAAAATAAAAACTAATTATACTTAAATCAATCTAACTTTTTTTTATTCCTTGGTTATAACTAAACGATACATTTGTCAAAGATTGAAAAAATAATTGTCTGTACGAATTTTCAATAATACTTTATTAGATCTAATCTATACACTGATTTCTTAATATAAACATTACGGCAGTGATTTATAAATTATTTCCTTTAAGAACAACCACGTACTCATGCCATATTACTATTTATACAATTATCTAAATTAACTTCTCTATTCATTATTGATTATATCTACTAATTTAACTGTGTATATAAACTTCAAAGAGAAAATGCATTCACTTCACGAGTTACAAAATGATATGGATGTCCGATACACCGTTTTCTTGATCTTGATTTGTTTTAAAAAGATCTCTACTTAAACAGTATTAAACCAATGTATAAAAAAGTGGTCGTAAATAAAAAAAAATAAAAATAAATATGTTGAATCGATAATTAAAGAATGACCAAAATATCCAAAAGGGAATGTTTCACTGACTTGAATTTTGCCCATTAACTGCTTGAGAGCCTTGTTCAAATTGTGTCTTGTTCTTCAACAGGTAATTTGCAAGGTATTCAATTGGATTTGGTGGCCTGAAAATATATTTATTACTTATTACAAATACTAAAAATCAATATCAATAGTATTAAATTCCTATTGTAAAATGAGAATGATGATAGATTTTAATAAAATATTAATAAATACAAATTTACCATGTATAATGCACACTTTTTTGCTCAAATTTGTGACAGAATACTTTTAATTATTTTATTTATGCTTATGTGTTAAAAATAGTAACTCTAGAAATCTATAACAGCAATATCTTGACCTTCTACATTGCATAAATATCATAAAAAGAAACTTTATATACCAGTAACAAATTTACAGACAATGTTACAAGAAATGCTAAAATTCCTTTATAATACAAAAAAACAATACCTATATATAAACAAATAAAAATCTGAATTAAAAAATTAAAATGAAAATATGGCTAAAATGTGGGTGCGCATTATACGTGGCAAAATATGGTATTGTAATCATTTAATGTAACAGTTCCCAAACTTATTAAGCCCATAGATCCCTTCTCGTAGCAAAAACCTAACCATGAATCCTGAATTAAAATAACTCCACACAACTACATGAAAGTTAAATCTGTAATTTTGCTATTATGTCTTGAATGGTGATGTAAAAATAAAATATAAATAAAAGATTTTGATATTTAAAGTAAAATTTATTGAAATNAAGCTTTTCTTTTTTTATGCTGAAAATTATCTTAGCTTATTATGTAAAATTATAGAAATTTACTATAGATAGGTTAAGTGACATTTTTTTAAACTTTTTACTATAATATAATAATACATATGTAATGTGCGAGTGTGTATATTTCAGTTTTATTAAGAAAATTAACTTAACATGAAAATTACATTTTCTAGTTATGAAATATCAATTATTTTTGATCAAAATAAATTAATTATTTATATATTTTTAATCATTACATAGTTTTTATAATTATGAAAAACAACCAATTATTATCACTGTTTTGGGAAGAAAAATTAAAAATGTATAAAATTATAAACAAACAAAAATTCTAAAATGTCATAATGTATGCAATAAATGAAGCACACAGCACATTTTCAAAATGGGAAAGCTTTAGCTAGTATTCCCACCATGCAATGCTTGTCATTACTTGTATTTTATGTATACTTATATATTACTCAGGACATAAAAATGACTATCTATTTATTTATTACTATATATTTTTAACTTTCATAATAATGAAAATAGGTTGCAATTATTTTACTTTTTATTCTTTCTTTACTTTCATGGACCTTGACGTTCATGCACCCCCAAATTAATTTTAATTTGCCACTGACCCTGTCAGCAGCTCCAAGAATCCCCGGGGGTCCATAAGAACCGCTTTGGGAAATGTTAGTTTAAGGTATCATACAAAAGTTGCTGTAACCAAAACAAAAATTATTACAGAGTAAGAAACGAGTTTGTAAATTTCCAAATGAAATGGCTCATTATAAAACCTTGTTTGTTTATAATGATCAATATGTATTTTGTACAAATTCACTTCATTAACCTTGAATTTATCGATCTGTTTATGTTTAAATGTTTGTGTGATGTTTGTTACCAATTTCTATCTTCATAAATGTGAAGAAATTTATAAAAAGTTACCTAAGTTGGAAAAAGCAATTATTATTATTTTTTTTTTTTTTAGTGCATCTCATTGTACAAAGAGACTTATAAATGCTTATATGCTAGGTATACAAACTTAAAATGTTGCCAAATGTTACTAGAAACATTTGGCCAACCTAAACACCAACAATTTCAACTGTTCTTTTCTTTTTTTATCTATGGCAAAATTTAGTTTTTTGACTTAACATACCCTTTTATAGAACATATTGCAAATACTGAAGCAAAAATACAACACTAAAAAAAGCAAATTCATTGTAACTGGAAATTTACCAGAAAAATCTTTTCATAAAAATTCAAACATTTGTAGTTTTGACAGTTTTTTTGCTTTACTTTTGATAATCTTATATTCTAAGATGAAGCAGAAAGTACTTTATACAAAAGTTAGATCCTATTACAAATAGCAGGACTCAATAAATCAAGAATAATGCATTTCCAAAATATTATTTTTAAAACTAAATACTGTTAATTCATTTTTTACTATTGTATTTCTTAATTTCAAACTCATAGTGCATTTAGAATTGAACTTTATTACATTACTTTTTTTTTATGAATAAAAAAAAACCTAAAGTAATAAGCTTAAAAAAATAATAAATTCCACAGAATGGGTAATATTTCACAACTATTTCAGTGTCCTTCTGATATAAAATAACTTTTAATACTGTATCATAATATAGTCACAGATGCATTTTAAATATTACAAAGGAGTTTAAATTAAATGCTTATTAGAGAGTAGAGTTTCCTTGAACTGATTTTTTTAGCTATACAGTTCAATGTTCACAATTATAATTAGATATAATGCATCACTGTCTAATGCAACAAATGCAGTTTGCTAGTTTTAGAATTTGTCAACTTCAATGCATCTATTTCAGACATGTTAAATGGATTAAAAAAAAAAGAAATAAAACACCTCAGAATCAAGGAACCATTGTATATTTTCAAAATTATAAACATTACATTATTATATTAGCCAAATATCCCAATTTAAAATTAGATTAAACATTTTTCATAACTACAAACATTATTCCTTTAAAAAAAATATTTAACCAGATTCAATGTTGTCTATTTGTACAATTAAAAAAAAATGAAATAATGAGATTATTTCAATTCCTGAGAGCATTCAATTATAAAGATTTAAATGAAATTAATGTTTTAGTTGTTTCAAATAATCTTTCATTGATAATTATTTGGACCGGAGTAAATTTTTATATGGACTAAAATTTTGAGGTTCTATCACTGGATTTGCACTAACTTGCAAATCTAGTCCCAATCTGAACTATAAATGAAGGAAAATGAAGCCTATCAGATCTAAACGATTAATTTGTTATATATTAAATTTTGCTACATTCAAAAAGTTAGTAGAAAACAGAATTATGTATATACAGTAATTACATATATAATATTTAAGAGACTCCAGAATTTTATTATGATGATGATGATATCAATTTTNGTGAAAAAAATAAAAATCCGATACTTTTTGAACAGACCTCGTATATTAAATAGCATATAAGTTCATTTTTAAATTTTCAACTCAATTCAAAGCATTTTTTGTTGTTGTTGTTGTATGCAGTTTCCAGCAAACTTTAATAATTGTTTTCTATTTGTGACAATTGCTACGTAATTCAAAGGGAATTTTTAATATATATCTTACACATCATTATTAATATAATTTTGGAGGTTACAGAACGTATTAAATTACTTTAAAAAACGAAAAATAATTATATCATTTGATTTCATAATATTTTGTACATCTTAAAAATAATTAATTTTATCCTGGGATTTCTCGGGATCCCGGGACAAGCAAAAGACCGGGAAATGAGAAACCTTAGTTTCAAAGTCCTGAGTCCAAAAATAAAAAATGTTGCGGTGATTGACTGATCACCATACTTTTCCTCTGTTATATATAACAGATCTGGGAAAGTAATAAACTGCCAAGTAAAAAATTTACTTAATTTAGAAATACAGATATTAATACATAATAGTAATAATTGATTACAATTTCCAAAAGACTGATTTTGATGCCAATTTGAATTTAAAGTGAATTATCTTGAAAATTTACATTACTGTTGAAAATTTAGTTATTTTTTTTTATTTTTTACCCCATATAGAAAATCAAGTTTCATGTTGTTACTTATATGCTATTTAATATACGAGGTCTGTTCAAAAAGTATCGGATTTTTATTTTTTTCACATAAACCAATGATGCGCGGGTGGCCTCTTTTGGTGGAGTTGTGGAGGGGACAGTCATGCACAGCCCTGAATTTTTTCCCGCCTGCAGGAAGCGTCAGTCGTTGGCAATCGGCCTATGAGTGACTCCTTTGGTGGAGTTGTGGAGGGGACAGTCATGCACAGCCCTGAATTTTTTCCCGCCTGCAGGAAGCGTCAGTCGTTGGCAGTCGGCCTATGAGTGAGGACGTAGTGAGCTCTCGTCAGATTCCACTAAGTTGGAAAATGACTGAACAACGTGAGCAGCAATATTACATCAAATTTTGCCAAAAACCTTGGTAATACCCAAGTGTAAACCATTCGCAAGATTCAGCAGGCTTATGGACACGATCATCGAGGCCAAAAAAAGCGCGGCAGGTCCGCAGCAATATCAAGGTCANCAACAAAAAAAAAAAATGCTTTGAATTGAGTTGAAAATTTAAAAAAAAAAAGAACTTAGCTTAAACTTCTAACTTAAAAGGTAATTTTTGTTTTTTAAATAAAAACATAATATAAAATATTATTGTAAATTTTTATAATAAGATTTTAAAAAGCAAAGACGGTCAATACTCCGATCACTCAATCTGATTCTTATTTTAGTAATGAAAAGTCCTGCTACCGAGAATGCCCTTTCTGATTCAATTGATGTGAGTGGAATCGTGTTTAATGCATTTAAGAGAAGACAAATATTATGTGTTTTTCACCTGTATCCTGAAAGATTTCTAGTTCATTTTCAAGATTGTAGTACTCTTGATTTGTCTACCTCGACTGCTTTAATACAAACATCATAGCCCAATAATTTGGTTATTCATTTGTCTTTAATAATCAGGTTATGAAAAAAAANACATTATTCCTTTAAAAAAAATATTTAACCAGATTCAATGTTGTCTATTTGTACAATTAAAAAAAAATGAAATAATGAGATTATTTCAATTCCTGAGAGCATTCAATTATAAAGATTTAAATGAAATTAATGTTTTAGTTGTTTCAAATAATCTTTCATTGATAATTATTTGGACCGGAGTAAATTTTTATATGGACTAAAATTTTGAGGTTCTATCACTGGATTTGCACTAACCTGCAAATCTAGTCCCAATCTGAACTATAAATGAAGGAAAATGAAGCCTATCAGATCTAAACGATTAATTTGTTATATATTAAATTTTGCTACATTCAAAAAGTTAGTAGAAAACAGAATTATGTATATACAGTAATTACATATATAATATTTAAGAGACTCCAGAATTTTATTATGATGATGATGATATCAATTTTCAATAATTTTACATTGTCTCAGTACAATCCCCATTAAATACAATATATTTTAGAAAGAAAAGAAAAAAAAAAAAAAGTATTAGAAAAGCATGTGAAACCTTTTCAAAATTTTTAAGTGTTTTATGCACACATTATGTTTATTACCTAATTAAATGATAGACAATTTTGACTGTTTTGAGACAGGAGACACTGTCATATATATATATTTATAGTTCTCTTGATCTGGCTCCAAATAATTACTATAGATTTAATGGATGAGAATGGGGAAAAATCCACTTAAATGAGATAAAGTGAAACAAATGCATGAATACAACAGATTAATTACCTTCCAAAAAATTTCTGCATAAAATATGTACGGAAAGATAAAGTAAAACATGAAAAATTAATGAAGTAATTATAAATAAATTCATAGAATTCTAAAAACAAGCTTTACTTTTTTTATGCTGAAAATTATCTTAGCTTATTATGTAAAATTATAGAAATTTACTATAGATAGGTTAAGTGACATTTTTTTAAACTTTTTACTATAATATAATAATACATATGTAATGTGCGAGTGTGTATATTTCAGTTTTATTAAGAAAATTAACTTAACATGAAAATTACATTTTCTAGTTATGAAATATCAATTTAAAAAGTTTTCTTGATTTTTGAATTCTTTTTGAAATTCTTTGCATTTTTTTTTTTTCTTTTAATACGTATATTTATATAAAATTACAGAAATAAGACTTTTGTAGCATTACAGACATAATGAAAAAGCTTTTCTGAAACAAAAAATTATAAACTTAATTGTAATTTCCAAACAGTCTTAATTATAATACCAATATTAAAACTATATGTCATCTTTTATTATCTATAATAATAAAGCGACTATAGCAGATTAAATTTTGGTAAAGATTTTTTTTTTTTTTGGAATATAAACATTTTGTTATATCAATTTAACATGCTGAGATGCAATAAATTCATAAAGCAGATTCCACAAAAAAATGTAAATGAAACAATTAGTGATGAACAGAACAGGTTTTTAAATTCATTCATAAATAGAGAGAACTGACAAAACTCAAAATAAATATCCCTTTTGAAATTTATAAATTCTTTAGCTGTAAATAGTTAAGTTAATACTTCTTTCTTTTGAGCAAGACATTTACTTTTCTTTTTCACTTCTATAACAATTGAATTTATGCATGAAGCAATCAAATTATACACAATATTTTAACTTTACAAGATTTTTTCATAAGCATACACCATCATATTTACTTTCCCAGATCTGTTATACACAACAGAGGGAAAGTATGGCAATCCAGCAAAAAATGACCCCCCAGATTTTTTACAATTTGGACTTACGACATCTTGAAATGTCAAGAAATGAAAAAAAATTTGGGGGTAATTTCTATATGTATGGATGTTAGTGTATGTGGGGGGGGACAATTTTGTTCAACCTGTTTGAAGCTTAATAACTCCTGTGCTTTTTGTTGAAAATTTCTGAAATTTTGCAGGAAGGTTTGTGTATAGTTATTATAGGAATATAATAACTATAAATTAATAAAAATAAATAAAAAATGAGTATAGTAAAATGTTGATTGCATACTGTATGTTGATATAAATAGCTTAATAAATCAGCAAAGATTGAGCAATATGCTAACTAGTCGAAAACAGTTTTTTTACCTACGAATTGCAATAGAAAAAAAAAAAAACAGTTAAGTTCAAGGAAAACTGATGTGCCCTTTTTAATTTATAAAATACACCTTTTTAAATTTAAAACAAGGTTGAAAATATAAACTGAAAGAACATTGTTGTTTCAGTTTATACTCAGAACAATAATGAACAATCAGTAATGGTATCATTACATTAATGGGTATTATTTTGATAAATTTCACTATACTGAGTGCATGTGTTTTTAAAAAATAATAGAATATTTATCAATTGTAACATTCTGTAAAAACAATTTATTATAAAGTATTTCATTATTCTGGCATTAGTAAAAACATATATAAAAATATATTAACAAATAATACTCTTCATTATTACCTTTCTTTGGCTAATGTAGAAAGAGCCTGCAACAGTATAGGAACAACTGTTTGATCAAGATATTGTCTAGTTGGTAAAGCCTGGAGATCAAGTTTTGGTTTTTTTGGTTGATTTTCAACGGCCACTTCCTTTTCTGCCGAAACTTTCTACAATTAGGAAAATCAGAATTAGTATTAATGTTTTGACACATTTTTGTCATTGTGTACTTTTTCTTGAAATAATAACTAAATAGAAAAAATTATATTAAATTTACAATTATTAAAAAACAAATATCAATTATTATTCATTCTAACCTGAACATTATCTGTTACAACTGCATTTGCAGCCATACTATCTGAAGTTTGATTATCAGTTGCAACTTCTTCTGTAACAGTTGCTGCTGGATTTTGTTCTAACAGAGGAAAATAAAACAAAAGCTAAAATGAATAATTAAAAATATTTATATATCTTATATGCAATAAATTTGTCAAAATAAATAACTCATATTTTAAATAGAAAGCATAAAGTTATTTCATTGAAACATACAAATCTGATAGACTGGATCATTTGAAAAACCAAAACTGGCTAGAGTTAGTAGATTAAGACAAATTTAGATAATTTCATATCTGAGTTGAATCTGATCTTTGTGAATATGGAGAATATATTTAGATGCTCCATAATTTTAATATCTGTAACATATTAATTAGATAAAGGCTATATTACTGCTACTATTAATAATTAAATGCTTCTTCACCCTTAATCCAATGAAGCCTGGGTTGGGCCACAGACCAAAGATTTACTATCTTTTTCTATATTTCCACTACTACTCTGTAAACACCACTGTGACATCATCAGTCCTTTTTCTTAGGTCTTCAGCTATCTGGTCGTTCCACCTCTTTCCGGGTCTCTCCCCTTCCATCTTCAATACCAATTTTGGTATTCTATTTTCTTTCATTCTCTAGGTATGGCCAAACCATCTCAGTCTATTCAATTTGTTTAACTTCTCCCCCAAATTTTCCATTCCTGTTCTTTCCCTTAGTTCTTCATTCCTTATCCTGTATCTTCTGGACTTACCGTGTTTCCCCGAAAATAAGACATCCGCAGAAAATAAGACCTAGCACAGATTTTGCTGAATTGCGAAATATAAGACCTCCCCCTGAAAGTAAGACCTAGCGAAGTTTTTTTTTAGTCGTAACGGTCATCGACAGATGGTTGAAAGTACAGCCACTGATTGGTCAGCAGACAATTACGCCACACGGCATGATTTGCATAAGACTATGGCTTGGGAATCACAGATTTGCATAATGTTATCGCTGGTGATCGCTAATTGGTCGGCTGGGAATCACGCCACATCACATTTGCATAGTGCTGTTGTTCAGTAAGCACTAATTGGTCATCGAGCTCGATGTGGACACTATAAAAAGGTTAAATTGAATGTGTCGCAAGGTGTTCTCTCAAACCTGTTTAGCGTATTGTTCAACAATAAATGTGAATTCGTCTTCATGGAAATATAAGACATCCCCTGAAAATAAGACCTAGTGCATTTTTTAGAGCAAAAATTAATATAAGACACTGTCTTATTTTCGGGGAAACACGGTAGTCAGCACTTTGTCCCAATATTGACTTATGGAACTGCAACATGGACTACAATACAGAGAGAAAAAAGATCCAGGCAGAAGAAAGGAAATTAAAGGCTACCTTAATTAAATGATAGCTGGCAATCATTTGGCTTTAATATAATTATTGGGCTTACAGATGTTTATATTTGTATATATGTAACAGTCATTCTCTCCATAAACCTTTTAATAATATATTTATAACTACTTTTTGTGGTGACTGGACGGCTAAGATGGTTAATTAAGGTGTGAGCTCTGGGGACATAGAATTGAGTCTGAGCAGGTATTTTTGGGCAGTCTGTCCCAAATATGCCAGATCCCTTGCATCTGGTCATCTCTGCTATTGTTTTTAAATGGAGTGTTGCCATCTATGGGGAAGCTTCATAAAAACATTGTTCATAGAACTTTCCAATTTTTCCTGAGAAAAACTGTTCCATGTGTTTTTTTGCAAACTTTCAAACTATCATAGTTTTTATCATAAAAGAAATTCTATAAGACCCATAAAAAATAATAGTCTGATGGGGCAAGTTTAGCCAAGTATGGGGATGGGGTAAAACATCCCAGCTAGTTCCAATCATTTTTGGCACATTTGTAAAAAAGTGTGCAGTCTTGTGTTATCTTGATAAAACACAATGCCTTTTCTGTTAGCCAATTCTTGATGTTTTCCTTCAATTGCCATCTTCAAGTGATATAGTTGGGAACAATACTTATCAGAATCTATTGCTTGATTCTGTGAAAGTAGCTTTCATTATAGAATTCCTTTCCAATCTAACCAGATGGTGAGTACAACCTTTGGATAAAGACTAGCCTATGCAGTATATAATGGTAATTCATTTTTCTTACCCCATGATCTTTTTGGTTGATGTTATAAACAATCCATTTTTCATTACCCGTTACTAGACATTTCAGAAATTGGTCATTTTCATTTTGTCTTTGAAGAGAATTAATTACAAATGAAGATGCAATCTAGTAAGTTCTTTTCCATTAATTTGCAAGATAAATAAATTTCATTATCATTCACATATCCAAGCTTCTTTAGATGTTGAAATATGGTACTGTGACTTCACTATGCCTGCTGTCTAGAATTGTGTAACAACGGTTGCTATCCAATAATGTTTTGATTTGGTCATCTTCAATAATTTAAACAGTTGATTCTGCTACAACATCCTCACCATAAATAATCACATTTCTTTTGCTGTTTTGTACAGCAATTTTGCCTTTTCAATGGAAGAAAAGAAAAAAGTAGCAACTTGTTTACTTCCATTTTCACAAGACAAATTAAATGAAATTTAAGTAATCTTAATGGACCTTTTATATCAGATGCATCTCAAGATCACTTTCATATTTGTTGATTTTTACAATTCTAATCATTTTCACTTTGTCCAGTGTCTCAACAGTCAGCTGTGAAAAATGATTACAAACTTTCTGAACAACTCATTTAATATTTTTAGCACAAAACATGTAATTCTACATAGTCCATTGATAAAAATGACAAATTAACAAAATATTTTCAAAAATTTATTATTAATCTCCTAGAACAGCAACTTGTGCACAATTCTTAGACCCTAAAACAGTTGTGAAATTATTAATAAATCCTTTACAGAAATTTAGATATAGGCCTACTTTGATTATGAGTAGAAAAAGTTAAATCTACTTAACTTGAATATTTAGCAGGACTGTACAGTCAAGAGTCATGGAGACTGTAAAAATGGATACCAAATTCCCACTTTTTTAATTACATACTTTATAATAAGCTCCTAATAACAGCATTAACCTCCTATCTTGCATTAAAATAGCCTTCAATAATGCAAGATCTTATTGTATGATGATTCCTCTACTTCATAAACTTTCTTTACATATCACTATATAATTACTGTCGATTTTCTTTTCAGAAATTCATATTTAAATACAGTCTGTATTAGCTAATTCTAATTATCATCATCGAAAGATTCACACATATGTCAAAGAACATTAAAGTTAAATCTAGTGTTTTTGAATACTTACTATAACAACAATAACAACAGATAACAATTTGTGATTGATGATGAAGATAATAGCAATGATAATAAAAAACTGAAAAGAAGACAAATACTTTCAGTTTTGATAGGAATGCTTGATTCATTTTGTAGGTGATGAAATGCCATTCTGGGTTAATATAATCAAAATATATTTTAAATTATTATTTAAAGGCAGGAATCAAAGTTGGACTTTCTAAAACTCTGAGTCTGAGTCAGGTGCTTGGTCTACTGACTTTACNTGTAATAAATTAAACATTAACTTTTAATAACTGTTCAATCTATTTTTAATCCTATAAACATAGCATATAACATCTAATAATTTTTTAATTAATAAAAATCTATGCTTGTTTATATATAAGTCTGTAGCCAAGTGATTAAGGAATTATCCTACTGCTATAGAGGAGTTTTTGTGGGTGGTCTGTCCTAGATATGTTGAATGCTGCCCCTGCAGGACTGGGAAAAAGGCACTCTAATGCCTGCAGAGAAGAAGATATAATAAATTTTAAAAATACTCTTAAGATGAAAAACAAAACTATTATCCATATCTGTTCAAAAATTTATCAATGGAGGTTCAAAGTTCAAAAAAATTTTGAGAAATACGGTGTCCTGAAAAGTGGTATCTCTCACTTCAAATTTAATTAATTCCAGAAGACTGTTCGAATTTGAATAATTCAAAATAATGGAAAGCGAGTTCCCAGACCCCAAAACAATACCAATTTCAATAAATTTAAAATGGCAAATACACAGAATTTAAGATAAAGATAACATAATTAAATGCCTTAATAATAATAATTTAAAACACAAAAACAATAAATAAAATACATAAATAATACATAATAAAATGAAAATTACATTTACTGGTCGACTTTGGTATCTTAAACATGGCAGCCAAATCTGCCACAACTGTACCAGTTTTATGTTCTTCAAACAGAAAATAATTATTTTCTATTACTAATCATACATAAATTAATTAATCATTGTGGAGCATTTGCTGTTTTTAAGGAATTTTTAATATCAACTCTAGTTATTCAGATTAAAAAATGAAAATATATCTAAAAACATTAATTGTTTTTATAACCATTAAAAATATAAAATTAATATATTTAACAATTCAACATTTTAAAAATTTCTCCAAAATGTAGTATATATAATAAGTATAGACTTAATAGATGTTAATTAACTGGGTCTTTATTAAATATTATATAAAATTAAATATTANAATTGTAAGTACAGCAATACCCCGAACTTACGCGATAGGTGGGACCGAGCGATAACCGCATAAGTCGGGGTATAATTTCTCAATGTGTGTAAAATCCAAGTCGGATGTATGTTAGCTAATAAATGTTCTCGTTAATCTTATCTCATCTTTTGATTAGTTCATTGTTACAAGAAATCACCACATAGAGTCTCTCGAGTCTCCGTAGATATAACAAACACAGAAATAAATAACACAAAATAAATTGTAGGTGTGTCGATTCCGCGCGACACGTCCGAACATGTAAGTTGAACAATAGTGTGGAGGGAATGAGTAATCAAGAGTTGCGTGGTGCTCAAACAAAAGACGAATCGACGAGATTTGAAAATCGCGTAACTCCAGGTTCGCGTAAGTCGAGGTATCACTGTATATAGAAGTAATAAATTTAATGATAACATTGCTAATTTATGGATAATAAATTTGTCTAATTGATTAATCAAATGAATGTCATTGACAATTATGGAAGATACTATACTAATTTGAAGTATTTTTTGCATCCTGAATAGTTTTTTCTATTTAAATAAAAGTTACTTTTGGCTCAGATCATTTAGATACATGAAACAAAAAATGAACATTATGTTTTATTACCATACTATAATTTGAAAGTTATGATTAAGTTGAAAAACTAACTACAGATTCAATCAAATTCTGAGACAAAAACCTGAAAAGAAATTGAAGTTCTAATTATGGAGCAAAAAACTTATTAATATCACTTTACTATTGATGATATAAATTAACTAGCAGATGAGCCCGGCGTTGCTCGGGCAAAAAGTAACAATAGCGAAGATTAAGATTATTAGATTTTAGTCGATATTACCCGTTTTCACCAGGCGCAAGAATTAGGTCTCTCTCTTCCGAGACACTTAGAGAATTTTTACATGGTCTAAAAATATGTTCAATTTTATGCAAAACACCACATCTAAAATAGTACAGTAAAGCTGAGTTCTATAAAATAATCCTTAAGCTTTCCCTCTCCTCCATGGGGATAATTTCCAAAAATCCCTTCTTAGTATGCATTCTCAAGGCATATACTACTAAAATGCAGTCAAACGTGCAAAAAAAAAATTAAAATTAAAATCATTATTGAATTTTAACTGAATAAATCTTTAGTATTCAAAAAGTTCTTTTATTTAAATAACCTATAAAATAAAAAAAAATCAGAAAATTTTTCATTACAATGGAGAATTAACTTACTTGATAACTTTACTTGAATTATATGGTTGATTTTAAACTCTAAAATCTAAAAAACTTGTTTGGAATTTTATATTTTCAATTCAATATTTCGAATTTGGAACAAATTCAAATACTCGTTCGAATTTATTTATTTTGGATTTATTGTTTTTGGGTTACCCAAAAGATGAAAATGATTCAACTCATCTCAATTATATTATAAGATTAGCAGAAAAGATGCTAACAAGTTTCTTGTTGTAGAAAATTATTTAATACAATATACACCATCACATCTATAACAAAATTTTATTGACCTAAGGATTTAGAAAATTTTCAGCACTAATATATCTTTATTTAATTATCATAAAAAAATAATTTTAGAAGTTATCAATAACAATTTAGCCTTGATCTATTTATTATGATAAAAATCATCTCTGGTAGTAGTAATAAAATTTTTATTAGTGTTAGTGAATGTAAATTAGAATATTGAATATTCTATTTTCATTTTTTTCAGATGATAAATATTAAATGTACAATACCTAGTATCTACCTAATAGTTCTTTCAGTATATCTTTGATTACTGATTAACAGAGTTGTCTTCAAATGCCAAATTAAAAATTAAGGAATTGACAAAGCACAGTTCTGTCAGAATAATAATTGTTTAACAAAAAGAAAAAGTATAAAAAAAGACCATGGCTTCTTAGGAGAAAATAAAATTAGACATAATCAGTACGATGTATATGTTAAATGCATTTAATAAAAATTAACTTTTAGACATTCATCACTTTATAACATAAAATATTTAATCCATACTTTTAGATTTTTTGATAATGATCATAATTTTTCCATTTATTAAGCATAATTCTCATTTCACAAACTATAATTTTGCCAGTTAGCAATTATTTTTGAATTAAAATTTTTTTTATAATGTGAAGACCTCTGAAATGAATTTAATAAACCATATGTAACCTATACAAAAAAAAAATCTTGTAAGACAAGCTTACATTAAAAAATAATAAACTAAGCTTCAAAAAACTTAAAACTTACTTCCTTTGTATGAGAAGAAATTAATTTTGTATCCATATAATTGTAAAATGCAGTATTTTACACAAAAATAATTTTTATGTAGATTTATTCTGCAATATGAAATCATTATTTGAGATTCTATCAAAAAGATTTTCCAATTATTTAAATATAATGTTTACAAGTGGTTTCAATTGATTAAATAAGCTTATTAGCCATATAAATCAAAAACCAGAAAGTTGAATAGATTTAATTTATGTTTGTATGTAATATATTAAGGCTAAAATTTAAAATAATGATAATCCATCCTCCACAATAAGGTCACCAGCTCTTTCAGACTCAATAGGAAGCTCCCAGAATTTGGTAAAAATTTTTAAATTCTCACACTCCTGAATTGAGGCTTACTCTTCCCATATTTATTCAACAAGACAATCAACTTTTGGATTGCAGGTTATAATAGAAAATAGTATTTTGACATTACTGAAAGTCAAAAAAAAAAAAAAATGTCAAATCTCTCAAAATTCTTAACTCCTGGAATTGACTCTTGTGGAGTAAGCTTGCCAACTCTCATATCACTAAAAACTCTGCTCTCAAGAGAAACATTTTATTTTGTTAAGTTACGTCAACCCAACACTTGGGAGAGCTGCCTAGGAGGGATGCACTCCGGGAGGTCTTTTTAAGGATAACTGGCCCCCATTTGGGCATTACAGACGTGGAGAAAACCTGGAAAACTCCACACAGCCAGCCCATTTTGCCCAGGCACAAATCCACAACCGAACTTCCAGCATTCAGGGAACAGAACCGCCTGGCCACCGGTGGGCCCCAAGAGAAGCTATCTTCAAATCGTGTCAACATCACTAAGAAACCTTTTTCTACATTCTTTTTATATTTTAGACATAATTTAAAGCTTAATTTAAATTAAACATATAAACAATATTAAGATCTTTATCAATATAAGTGCGACCTGTCAAGTTTAAATCTTTTTTTTTTTTTAATTTTATGTTTACATTTAACACATCTTTATGTTAAATAAGAAAAAAATTGTTTAAATGCATTTATGAATTTACATACATTTCAATTAAAAGCAATATTTAATTCAATTAATAAAAATAATTAATTTTTTATTGAATTATTTCAAATATTTTGAATTTATTTATAAATAAATAATTTATTTATTTAATTTTAAAATGATTAAAATTTTTAATAATATTTTAAATAAGAGGAAAACTTTCCGAGCACAAAAGATGGACTTCAATTTGATTGAATACAAACAATGGATGAAGTGTCTTTTATTCAAAATTTACAAAACCATGCTTTAAAATACGTCATCGACACGCGAAAAATGTGTCAATTACAGCTAATTAATATGAATAACAATAATTTATTAAGAATAGAATAAATTATTAATAATTTTTCTAATTATAAATTTAATTTAGGTACTTATTTAAAAACCTTAATAAAATAACAAAAAAATTTAAAGATGAATAAATAAACTAACCAGGGAAAAAAAACAATAGATACGTGTAACATAGAATATTAAATGTATTATTTGCAAGACTGATCAACACACAACTCACCTTCCGCCATTTTGTATGATACAGAAACGATATCAGGTGGCGCTTTTTCGTAAATTTATTTGTCGTTCCTAACTTGTCTATAGTATAAACTACACGTTTGTAATTTTTTTTTTTTAATAGTTCATTTTTTTGTGACAAAGATCCTGACTTTTCTGAAATTCTTGGTTTTTTTGCAATAAAGTCGTGAAGTTTCATTTGTCGCTTTTTTCTTTCCTTAAGCAAATGTCGGTAACGGAAGAGCGCATCCAAAACACCTCGTTTTGTTTTTGCACTTCTTTCAAAATCAGGATCATTTGCTACAATTTGATCAACGATTTCAGTTAGCATTACAAAACTTTTACTAAGGAAATCAGTAGAGAAATTTTTTGGGTTCTTCGTTTTCAGAATCACTATTTTCCAGTTCTACATGGATTCCTTGTTCTGATAATTCTTGAAGGTCATCATTGATAAGACTCTCACCAGAAATCTGCGGTAACTCCTCAATATCCTGTTTGTCTACATCTCCTAGTCCTGCTGTATTGATTAGGTTGAGTTTGATCGACCTAGCAATACAATGGTAGGCTCTTCTCGTTGAGAATTCTTGGATACCTTTGGCCATAACTTCTTCCACACTTTGTGCATTTATCAGTTAATTCTTGCTAAGCAAAGTCGATATTGTCTATGACATCCATATATTTTTTCCAAAATTGCACCAAACAAACATAGATTTAAAGAAAGTACACCTTTTTGCCACCTTTTTCTGATTGGTTTGTGTTCGTAAATAATCGCATTATGTATGAATCAATAAAATGCTGTGATAATTTAAATCAGCGTAAATTTTGAGCTTTTTTTAAGGCTTCGAGCAGATGGCATTATATCAAATCAGAGTTAAGCGGGGTCTTACTGTACTTTAAACAAGTTCATGTTTTCTCAAATCAAAATAATGTTTGTATTTTTAATAAGTAACATTTATTAAACACAAAAAACAACCAAATCATGAATTATATATTATTACAGGATTGAAAAAATAAAATCATATTACAGGAGGCAAAATCAACTTGATTAGTTTTGCCTACTGTACGTAGCTAGATTTAGACTTATGGCCCTAAGCTACAAGAGGTCCTACTTTCTTCATCAAATAATGAGGAATACATATAAAGCGTCCTTGAGAACAGAATGAGAATCCTTATAATCCAGGTCCTACGCTATTGCATACTTAACTTATGTGTAAATCCGGCTGTTCCTATATAATTAATTTTAATAGTAAAACAGAACTATGTAAATTACAAACTATTCATGTTTCAAAAGAAAGATTATTCAGTGTTATAAATATAGGTATTTCTCATACAATAACATACTTCTACAACATGGTTTTGCTCTAACAGTGTGTGAAAATTGGGGATATCCTTGCACAACACAGTTCAAGAATTTGGAAAATCCTCTGTACAAAATTTCACAATTTTTAAGTACAAACTCCATTATTCAACACTTTTTCCTTCAAGTAAGAGTGTGTGTCATCTCAATTTGCTCATGGATTTTAGAATATTGAAATTTTTAATTGACTAGGTGCCTTTTGTCAGGTTTACTTTAATAAAAACTAATGGAAGAAACAAATTGAAATTTGTCCTAGCTTTCCTATCAACCAGGTGTTATCGCTGTTGCTTTCAGACTTTAAGAATGTCACAGTGTTTTGTTTTTATATATTAATCTTTGTATTTAGAGAATAACACAGCACTTTTTTGCAACATATCTATCATATCATACGAGGGATACCTATAGTTTAAAGCAAACATTGCATTTAATATCAAGTAATTCTATTTAAACATCTTTTCAACATCTTGAGTAACAAAATTCCATTCAAAATGCATTTCAGGTTTTACAGAAATAATCCTCTTCAATTGTGTTTTGACTTGCTGGTGCCTATTTAAAAAATAATATCTAACAATACCTCAATATACATGCAGTTTAACATACAAACAGACTAAATATGAAAATTTTTACATAAACAACGTATTGTATAACAAAGAATAGTTTAACATCATTAAAAGTGCATTCAGTTTTTAATATATTGTACATCAAGATATTTTTAAGATGTCATTTTGAATAGGCACAAGAGTCAAAAGGCAACTGAAGAACTGTTATTTTTGCAATAATTCAAATGCATTTTGCCTGAAATTTTGTTACTCAAAGTACCAAAATAATGTTTAAGTTTTACAAGTCTCGCATGACTACAATGCAGTTATTGGCAATTTAATTTAAAAAAAAAAAACAGCATGGTTCCAAAACAAAGACTTTACCGTAGTATTCATTTTACAGTAAACTAACATTCATATAAGATTTCAAATATTAAATAACTTTCAATTCAAGCATACATTAGCAAACCTTACTCAGTGGCCATCTGTGTAATTCAATGCAGGTGTTTACGAATTGTCTATAAAATAAATATGATTTATCATTTTTATTTTATGAATAATTTCCTTTGTCCAATAGCAATAATAAAATACTCAGAAAAAATTAAACAGAAAATTTTAATATTGATGATATAATTATTTTCTGTTTAATGTTGTTCAAAATGTTGTAACCTTTTAAACACAATTTCATCTTGTTTTAATATTTTAATTTTGTAAGGCATCATCGCTTATTTATAAAAATAAGTTTGTCAAATCAATATTTTTAATATTTGTCTGAATCATTAATTGTTATAACCCAGGATTAAAATTTAAAATTGCATAACCCACACGCCATTTCAAAATCATCTTTCAAACACACAACACACAGGTTATCTGCACAAAAAAAGGAAATACATAGAAACTAAGACATCTGCTGAAGTTCTTTTGACAAGTTCACAAAATTTTAGAAACACCAATTTTAGTTTACTACTACTAAGATATGATTCAAAGTTCATAAAGATGAACATTTAAAGTTATCAAATTGCAAAAGAAACAACTGTTGATTACAGAAAATGTAGAGAATTGTTTAGACAAAGATATATCTTAAATGCTAGATACTAAATTTAAAGTGAGAAACATTTCAATAATGGAAGTATTTTCAGATAAAAACACATTTTATTCTTCAAAGAAAACAACTGTACTAAATATATGAACCAAAATATAGAAATAATCATGAGTGTGCTATAACACTAAGTTTTACTAAATCATTCTTCCAATGTGTGATTATGATTAAAATGTCAAATTCACATTTTAAATCTATAAATAAAAATTTATAATTCTTTGCTTTATCAAAATTTAATTATACTACTTATTCATCAAATCAAAAAACCTTCAGATTGTGTTTTGAATTTTCCATTTTATGTTAAGCTATACAATGCTGAAATTAATAAGAGTGTCAAAAAACATTAGAATTTACACTGGAAAGCTCATTAATTAATGGCACAGCTATTCTCTATGACAATAATTGGACACTTCTGATAAAATTTAAATAATCCAAAAAAATCTTCCAAACAACTTACAAACTTCTTACATTAATTAATCTTAAGAATTAAAATTAAATTTAATTATTTTAGAAGTAATAGCTAGAAAAAAAATAGAGTAAAACTTGAAGTCTAACTTGTCTAAATTGGACAAACATGTTATCAATTATGCTGTATGAACCTCAAAAGGCTCTTAAGACATAGAAGACTTGAATGTCTAAGTGCACTTATTGTTAAGTCTTAGACTTGATTTGATCATTGGTGATAGTCGGCACAGCAGTTTTCAATATTTCAAAATTGACAAACTGAACACATTGAATGTCTGTATTCTCCTGTCATGCCACAAGAATATTGGGTGAAAAAGCACATGTGCAATAATCAGTCATTTTTCTGTTTTACAATGTTTTTGCAACAGCATTACAGAGCAGGAAATTTCCCTAATTATTGGAAATTTAACTCCTATGAAAAAAATGTGCGTGTATTTGCAGATATTTAATGAAATAAAAGGAAAAGTTCTGAATATTTTTTATAAAATCACAGGGGGGAAAGTATATAAAATCTAAAAAAAAAATAAATATTTAATTAGGTGTATGATGGAATAATTTTCGAGAGATTTCAGGATTTACATGAATTCTATAAAATGACTAGAATACAAAACAGACAATATTTTGATTTGAATGTCTAGGCAACCACACATTAAATGTTCATTCAATCTCGTCAATATTTGTAACAATAACCAAATATTAAAGACTCGTCGCCTTAAGCCAAACTTCATTTCCAGATACACATTTAGAATTAACATATAACTAATTGATTAATGTAGTAAAGATTGGTGAGGCAAAATAACAATTTGTAACATGTTAGCTCAATTTATGAGGAACAAGTTGATCCTTTCTTTTAGTGTTTTCAAATTAATTTCTGATTTTGGAGATTTATACAAGATTGAAAAAGTACCATAACTGCAAAAATTATGTGATGGACTAAATTCATATGTCAGAAAAGATCCAATTCAAATAGTATAATAAGTACCAAAAATTACAGTTCAAATCTCTTTTCAGATTTCTAAAATATTCATAATTCAAATTATTAAATATTAATAGTAAATACAGCAATACCCCGAACTTACGCGATAGGTGGGACCGAGCGATAACCGCATAAGTCGGGGTATAATTTCTCAATGTGTGTAAAATCCAAGTTGGATGTATGTTAGCTAATAAATGTTCTCGTTAATCTTATCTCATCTTTTGATTAGTTCATTGTTACAAGAAATCACCACATAGAGTCTCTCGAGTCTCCGTAGATATAACAAACACAGAAATAAATAACACAAAATAAATTGTAGGTGTGTCGATTCCGCGCGACACGTCCGAACATGTAAGTTGAACAATAGTGTGGAGGGAATGAGTAATCAAGAGTTGCGTGGTGCTCAAACAAAAGACGAATCGACGAGATTTGAAAATCGCGTAACTCCAGGTTCGCGTAAGTCGAGGTATCACTGTATATAGAAGTAATAAATTTAATGATAACATTGCTAATTTATGGATAATAAATTTGTCTAATTGATTAATCAAATGAATGTCATTGACAATTATGGAAGATACTATACTAATTTGAAGTATTTTTTGCATCCTGAATAGTTTTTTCTATTTAAATAAAAGTTACTTTTGGCTCAGATCATTTAGATAC